TCAAACCCACGCCAGTACTAAGAGGAGAGAAATATGTAATAAATTGTCAGTTGTCGAAAGCTAAATTTCTTGTTCTTGAGATGTATTTTATTTAGATTCTAAAAGACTCCAAATGTCGCACCGTGAGATGACCCTTCAGTCATGAAGTCCTAGCCAGCAGTGACTTAAAAAGGATATGAGCCGAACATGATTAACTCGACAGAGGCAAGTACATGAATACAAAAAATATTTAATGCCTACCTTTCGCCAAGTAATTTGCAAGCACTGATCTGAAAGGCTCGAATCGAAACTGTGCGCGGGAAATTCTAAAAATTTTGTATCGACAGACTAAGTGGACAATGTGTTAAAACTGCAAGAAACCGGGAGGAAAAAAGATTGTAGCTCGACCTTTATTCTATCAAAGCCTTCACTAAATTTGCTGCAATCTTGTCTCCTTTTTCTAGAGAGATCTAGAAAAGTTTGGTGGTGTATTGTCAAGAGTAGGACAGAAAAAATGACTGACAACCTATTGTATTGATAATAATGCTTGGTTATGACGCTAACGATAAAGTAATGATGATGTCAGCGGCAAAGGACAACCGTGATGGTGATGATGATGACTCAATGACCTTTAGCAGGTGTAACGTGCATTGAAATTTAAACTTGAAATACGTTTGTCGCAGAACCTCTTGAGGCTCAGGCCAATCTTGTTCCCAGGTTCCTCTCGGGGGATGAGTATGAGGAGACCCATGGAACGAGTTTGGGCAAAGGGTTGCATTGTCCTTAAAATGATAGGGATGAGAGGGCGGAAAGAAATAGAGTAGATTGTCCAGCTCAAGACCTATATAACACAACAACAAAGGCAAAAGGGATTTGAGTTTTCCCGATAAATCGGATAGTCTTGGCATTCTTCTCGGAGGATTTTCAAAAGGCTAGTAGGGATAAAACTAAAAATGATAACATGCAAATGAAGCACATGATCAGAACTCATTTGAAGCACAAAAGGAAAGAAAATGACAAACAAGTGTAAATAAATGAAGAAAAATGGAAAGAAATAAATAAGAAATAAATAAAAGGAAAGAAAAATAAATAGACAATAAAATAACAATACTTAAAAATATATCTTATAATGATAAATTGAAAATACAGTGAAATAAATAATATGAGAATAAGAAACACAATAATAATGATTACGAAAATGATAATAACAAGAGAAAAGGAAATACTTCCAACATAACAGTCTTGATTGATTATTGAAAACGAAGCCGCAAGCCGACTTTACAGCAGTTACGTTTCAAAACTCCAGCAGGAAGCATTGTCTCATTTTAGTTGCCACTTTTAGTACCATTTTTTCTATAACCATCATTATAATCATTATTATTATTATTATTATTATTATTACTTTGAAGGTACTTTTTGTTACATTCTTTAGAATTATTCACCTTTTTCGTCCTAATTCTTTTGTGTACGAGTCATTATTTTTAAGCTTTATCCCTATAGATCTATATAATTTTGACTTTTAAACTATTGGATGAAATTTTTAGCAGAGCCGATTTCATAGTACACAAGGACGGCCTGACTATCCAAATTATCTGAAAACGCCAAGTCGCTTTTGCATTTTTGCTTTTTTCTTATAATGGTTAACGTTATTACACGCATTGATTCAATGAAAGAAGGAGTGAGGAGACTGGACTTAGATAATAAGATTAGTTAAACGTATGGTCTTGACTTATTGAGAGATATAGGAACGTATTGAACGTCGACAAGCTGGGCAGCCTGACAAGTTTAGACTTAGTCGTCTGACGCCTGTTGCATGGAGGATGATGATGATGATGATGATGATGATGATGATTCTGTCGCTGTTAACGATGACGATGATGTCGACAACGAAAACGACGACGACGATGATGATGCTGACGATGATGTCGCTAATAATGACGATGGTGATGATGATGACGATGTTGAGGACGATGATGATAATCAAGCAGAGCAGACTGATGCGTTTAGACTTAGGCGACTGATGGCTATTGCATGGAGGATGATGATGATGATGGCGATGATAATGACGACGATGATGTTGACGATTATGTCGACGACGACGACGACGACGACGATGAAGCTGCTAATAATAATGATAATGACGACGACGACGACGATGATGATAATGATGATTATGAAAATAATCATGGTAATGATAATGTTGATGAAGACGACGACGACGACGATGACGATGATGATGATAACGTTCTAAAAAAAACCCTGATGAAGAAACTCCGAAGCTCTGTAAATGGCCACGCCGACGTTTAATTGGCGAGTTTCAGAACAGTAATCTCTGTTCTTCTTAAATACCTGACTGTTCCACAGTCGTCTCTCTTCTCTCATAGGGAGCTTAAGCATCGAAGGCGGCGACGGCAGCAAAACGTCACTTTTAAAATGAATTCGCGTGTTTTTACAGTTTTTCATGTTTATTCCAATTCGCTGAAAATGTCGAATGTAGGCGAATTTCTCTGGAGTTGATTACTTGGGGACTGCACTCAAGTTTAAAAGGAGAAAGTAAAAATTTGTCATCCCTTGTTTACGTCCTCCATTCAACTTGCGATCAGGCGTTTTCACGTCGTAGTTGTGCAGTGACGGCAACGAACTGTACAAAAAAGCGTGATGCACTTGCAGAGTTGTTGTTTTGCTCATCACACCTACCTCTGAGATCGAGAGAGACGAGGTGGCTGGGAACGAGACAGCTTTGATAGGATAAACGCAAAGACCAAAAAACTGCAACGAGAGGGGTGGGGGAGGAGGATAAGCTTCAAAAATGTGTCCCATTAAACTGGAAGTCTTGACTCGCCATAGTCGTTAGCTTTCCCTGCTTTACTTATCAAAGTTGTGAACTGCAAAGGAAGGACAGAAGACGAGGTTCTGACTAGTATATGATTCCTTGAGAGTCAACACTCCAACAAATGAATTTGCGTTACAATATATATAATGGAAGTAGGAATAGGATCGCACCTGCCTCTATGATAAAATTTAGGCTATATATTCTCATACACGACAAAATTACTTCGGTGCAATAGAAAAATTAACCTAGGAGATCCTTATTTAAAAATTAAACAATAAATTGAATCTTCTTTTTTAGTCCCAACAGAGTGCTAGTGGGTGTGTCAGTCAGTATATCATTTTGGAGGAGGAGTGCGGATGTACGCTACCCAACCATGCTTTGTGCAGTACGAGAAACCAAGCGAAGATAAACTTTAAACTACGATGTACCTTCTTTATAATATTCAATTAAGGCCCATGTTTAAACGGACTAGATTTTGCACCGCTCAAGCTTGCTGTCGCCGTCCAGCATCACTGAATAAGAACGGTTCCACTTCAATCTATAGGGATTAAATTCCGACAATTTGTTCATCTTCTCAACTTTTTCGCTATATTTAACTTTCTAAACCGGCCATTTCGCCTCTAAACAGCAATGAGGTTGAACCTGGGCCTATGTACTGAAGAAGTAGTACTTTTTTTCTTGGCTGATGAATCGACAACGTTTTAATGCGGTCCATACTAAATGACCAAACTCTTTCAAAACCTCAAGGAAAAAAATTGAACTTGTTACCTTAAAGTTTTTGTAGCAAAATGGGGTTACCATACAATGAATAAAACTTCTTTAGCAGTACTTCATCATACTCCACCTTCTGGTTTTTTTTTAAAAAAAATAAGATTTTATGAACTGAGAACAGTAGATATTTATGAATTATAGATTAAGGTTTGTTATTCTTAAGACTGACGCTATTAAGAGCGAAAGGGTTGCTAAAATAGACACAAAAAAGCCGCACTTTATTAGTTTTCATTATCAGTTTTGTGCAAGTTGAACGTTGCCGAATATACAGAAAATGTGGGAGCCATTATGTAAAGGAAGAAAGCTTCTATTTTACCAATGGGGGACTTTTGGGGTGTAGTTGAAATGTCGAATTTATCAATTGCTGCGAAAATAAGAGGGTAACTTGGAACCTCTGAATTCTTCTTAATTAACGCCACAAACGCTGATTTATTTTATCATGTAACATGAGCAGCAATAACCTTCTAATGCATGAAGATTTTCAGAGTTTCCGAGGAAAATTTTGCTTGATCTTAATTTGTCTGCAAAAAAAATTAAAAAGCTATAGCGAATTACCTGCTGAGTGAAAGGTAGAGAATTATAGCTTTCAATCCTTTACATACATTCAACGAATGATCTATGGGAACAAAACACGCTTTGATTTCATTACTCTCCAGAACACTTTAAGACAGAGACAGATTTAAGTCGCGCTATACTAGAATCAGCCTCGCCGTATTTCCTGAGCCTAACAAAGAGATACATTTTTATTTAGCTTTTAATAAATTTTTTTCTCATATTTATATACAGTAGCAGGCCTTAAAACCCCAGCACTGGTCGGGAGGGGGGCGGGGGACAAGCTCCCTGTGTCTTTTCAAAATAGGTTTTCGGGGTTTACTTGTCCGGCTGTGGTGTAATTGTATAATAATTTTTAGGATACATTTATTTTAGCCTGTGAAAGTAGCCTTTTCTCCACTGTTTTCACAGGCTACATTTATTTAAACATTTCCTATCAATAAAGTATGTGCTTGTTGAAAAAGTGCGTGTTGTTTCTCGGTTGTTCATATACCGTAGACTTCCACCGTTAAAAGCTCTCCCCATCCCACCCCCACTTATAAGTCCCCCAGTTATAGTAAATACAAAGAGCATTTTGATCGGCACTTTTTTTGTTTGAGTAAACTATCAGTACATCAGCGAGGGCTTTGCTTTTACCCCTGGCTAAATCTGTAAATACATTACACTAAAAATTGTGGTACTTTTAAACCAATGAGATTGCAAGTTGACTTTGTCTAAAGCAGGCCAATCGCATCGAATGGTTTTTGTTCTGGAGTAAAATAAATTTTAAATTAAACATCAAAGCATGGACTGAGGCAAAAATCGGCGCTGCAATCTACTAGACATTCGATGAAACTTCTGCGTAAAAGTCTTTGAAACGAAAAAAATGGCTTTATTTGGGTCAGCAACATTGGATATGATCTTGTTTAGCATCTTCATGAATTCTTTGTTACCAGCATTTAGCGAAGAATATCTTGATGGCACGAAAAGTTTAAAGCGACATTCAGGAAATGGTTTGGCTTTTGCTAACTTTGCTGTTCACAAATTTCGCCACTTAAACATCACCCCCTTGGTCTCTGCTTCTGTGAAAAATATTAAAGACTGCGGAAGACTTTGTGTCGATCATTCATCGTGTTTTTCCGTCAATTTTGCGGCGTTCTTTCACGAGGAAGGACTAATTTTATGTGAGCTTCTACCAAGCGATAAATACAACAACTCAGACAAGTTTCTTGACAGCGTTGTGTTCCATCATTTAAGCATAAAGGTAAGCTTAAAACGGCAAAAATAAAAAAAAAAAGACAAAAAACAACAACTCATGACAAAGTTACGTAAATTTTATTCATTACAGATTCCGTATCAATTTAATATCCGCTGTGAGGTTCAGTATCTTATTTCATTATTTTTAAAAGTTGACGAAAAAAATGCAAGTTATATGTAGATTATCCTTTCAATATAACTCGAAATGATTGTATAGCATAAGCTTGGAATACTTTCACGGGTTTATAACCAAACAATTCAACGACCTGCTCCCAGTTGGCTTATTAGCTCAATTGATACGAGCGCTGCACCCGTATCACAGAGGTCAAGAGTTCGAATCCCAGTACAAGCCTGAACTTTTTTCAGGCTTTCTTTTCGCAACTGCAAAAGTTGCGTCTACAACTGCGATGATCCTCTTTCATGTAATTGATTTTTTTTTTTATTATAAATAACTTTGGAGCTAGTTATTTAGAGGTAGTTATTATTCAATGTATTTTGGATTACGCAATCCGGCAAATTCAAATTACTCTTAATAGTCAGTGAATGGTCACGCTCTCCGTAAAGGAATCTGATTCAAGCAGATTTAAGGGTAAATATGCCTGGAAAAATCTTTTTGCTATGTGTTACACATTTAGTTTGGTTTGATATTCAGAGCTAAGATATCCATGTTCTGGTAAATCAAAAGGAGGGGCCAATTTCCTTTTGAAGTTAAAACTTTTGCCCCTTTTTGTTGAAACTAATTGGGCGGTGTCCCAGTTAGAAATTTTTCGCATTATCAAAACATGACTGCTTCCAACTGACAAAGTCAATTTACTGCTTAGTTTCCAGTTAAATAATTTTATTCATGCCCGTGAGACGTCATTAATATTTCAAAACTGCTTTTACAATCGGGAGTATATGTTTTCTTAATTTTGGGAAAGCACATCTGTTAGGTCAAATTTAGTTCTCAGGTGCCGGTTGTTCAGAGGGTAAATAACACTATCCACAAGAGATAAATAACTATCCAAGGGGAAAGTATTAGGAAAACCGATCATGCTATCCAGTGGTTTTTCCGATGGATAGCGCTGGCCCTTGGTCTTATCATTCAAGAGGCAGAATAAATCCTTCTGTTTTCTCTATATAAATTGTTATCCGTTGCGAAAAACTGTAAGAAAAGATGGCGGCCGAGCCATTGATAACGGATCTCATCCCGAGTTAGACAATTTGAAGACATGAGAACCTGCCAAAAGGCCTTTTCTTTAATTTTTGCCCAAGCGATTCTTTTTTTTTAATTCTTTTTTTCTTTTTAACCACAGTTATGGTGATCCAGCAAATTTCTATCTTTCAAAAGATGTGTGATGGGAAACTCTCGAGGAAAAAAGTAGGGACATTCAAAAAATAGTTAAAGACTTATTGGTATTTATTTAAAATTTACTGTAAAACAGACTCCATGCTCCAGTGACCCTTGCATGAACAGTGGGACTTGTATTGCAAAGTACGAAGATGATGAATATCACTGCGCATGTGCTGAGGGATTCCTCGGAAAATATTGTGAAGAAAAAGGTATTTTAACTTCTGTTTCCAAATGTTGCTTGTAAGTCTGGCCTCAGACTTTCTTGTCAGCATCGAAAATCACAACAGCGAAGGAAAGGAGAGGAAAATAAATAAAGGAAGGAGGAGAACAGAAAAGGCAATAGGCCACTTCCTTAAAAACTCCCGGGTGGGGGGAGGGGGGGGAGTCCGTTTTCTACGGGAAGGCTCCGCCCCGAGGTCCAGCCCCTTACCCTTTATATATCATCTTTGACAGAAAAGGTGCTCCTTTCGTATTCCGTTCACTGACAAATGATACCCCTTTCACATACCTAGTTCTTTTAATGCCATGTTTTTAAAATGTGAATAAATCACAAAACCAGAAAGTTTTCTCGACTTTTTCACCGTCATAAAATACATGTTGTAATCCTTCTGGGCCTTTTTACAGACCGATTTGACAGATTTCCCTTTCCTTTCATATAACTCAGGGCTAGTGAAATCCCTCACCCTTTAATATACCTGAAGCCTGAAAAAGGTACCGAGTACTCCTCCGTTAAAATGACTATGACTAACATATCATCATATTATCATAACCTCAAACTGGGTCCCGTTGGTATGTTGGAGGTGGGGGGGGGGGGGGACCCTGTGATGGTGGACCAGACGGCCAGACTGCTTCTCTACCTTTATATCTTACCCACAAATACTCTACAAGTGTGAAATTATGCAATCAGGCTGTAAGGTTGTGAAGGTCCCTACACTGACTACAATTAAAAGTAAAGCGAGGGCGGGATGAATGAGAAGTAAGATAGATATTCAAGTCATTGGAGTATGAAACCTTATAGGGACCTTGAGATACAACGGCGGCGAGTTAGCGACGGCAACGAAAACTTCAAAACAGCAATAGGGTTAATTAGCAAAACAACCACGTTGCACGTGCAGCACACTTTTTGTGTACATTTCTTTATCCTGCCGTCACCTGCACGACCTAAGACGTGAAAGTTTTGTGGAGGATGGAAACAAGCAACAACAAAATTTTCTTTCTCTTACTCTCTCTTGACTCCAGAAGAGTTCGCCTACATTTGACAAAGAAAGTTAATTGGAATAACAACGATGACGAATTCACCTTTAAGCTATCGCCGTTCTGGGAACTTAAGGTCCCTAAAACCCTATATCAAAACACTCTCGATGAGGAAAAGTTTTGAAACCTTTTCTCATTCTGATTTTCCATATAAACTTGAAGTCACGTGAAAATGTTTAAAATTCAGTCAGGTTTGACTGTCAGGATTGGAAGAAGCAAGGTGATTTTTCCGAAGACGGTATGTATTGGTTAGACCCTGATGGAGGAAGCCATTCAAACGCGTTCCTGGCTTACTGTGACATGACGTCATACAATGGAGGATGGACCATGTGTTACACAACTGATGAATTCACCAAACCCAAGACTGAAATCACCTACAATCCTGAGCTTCCTTATGGAACGGATGGGTACAGAACGAACTGCAACCAAATTAAAGTAAGTGGATTTAGTGAATCTATAAAGAATCCATTCTCAAGTTGGTGAAATAAGAAGGTTTTTATTGTTAGAGTAATGACACATTGGGCGTTACATTGTTAATGCTGCACCTCTAAACAATATTGTAACTTTACATATCAGTTAAACAAACTGGGAAAGAATTCTTCACTCTTTACTCACCTAATTATATATCAAGTTTTTGAACAAATTGTATTCTTATCTTCGCAGTTTTTATAATTACTTATTCAATTAATTGCCCTGGGCGCTTATGAATTTTTGGACCTTGAGAGTGGGCGCTTATTAAATTTTCACCATTTTCAGCAAGTGTAGTATGCATTTTTTGCAACAAAACAATAAATGATCATAACAAAACGCGAAGATGTAACAATACAAGGTTTCTGTAAAGTACTTTGAAGAAAACGGATCCGTCTTGGTGGAAGTCTCTTATTAGCACTTATTATTTCATTTTTTGTGTGTGTCGGAGGGGGAAGGGGGTAGGGTGGGGGTAGGGGTGGGCACTTATTGAGTTTGCGTTGGAAGGGGAGAGCTGTGAAGTGAGGCTGGGCCCTTATTTAGCAATTTTAAAATGAATGAGGCTGAGTAGGATATGAAGAATTAAGCAGATCGAGGAGGGTGTTATCCACCGAGGCTGACGGCCGAGATGGTTAACTCCCTCCGAGATCTGCTTAATTCTTCATATGCTACGAGAGCCAAATTCGTTAATTGCTTTATTTAAAATAATTCCTAGATTAAAAGCACAGCTAAAACATGCTTACCTGCATCGATGTTCAGTTCATATTCGATAGTGTACGTTTAGGTTTGTCCAGCCCCACAAATATTCTCCAAATAGCTGATGTCGCCCTCCGAATTGTCTTCTTGCTGTTTTTGCTATGTTTTTAGCCATTATTTCGCCTAGTTCCAGCTGTAGTTTTTACTCTTGAAACGAGTGAAGTGTCCGCCATTTTAGTTTTCACAAAGAAAACAACTCAACCTCAGCTCCCCAGGTCTTCTCGGCTAACGGTGCATTAACCTGTAGAGGGCTGCATTTTTGACGTCATTTCCTCGTTAAACACAACTGGTAACTGGTTATGGTGAATTATGCGAGTGCCTCTAGCCAATCAGAATTGGGGACATATTTTGAACGAATAATAATAACTTTTTCTGCCTTTAAGATGGGGGCTTATTCGAGGTGGGCGCTAATTCGAGGTTGGGCGCTTATTCGAATAAATACGGTACTTTGTTTTACGTTATTAGAGTATTCTATTGATTGTACTGTATTGTTGTTTAGTTCATCTAATTCTTGGTTTGCAAATACGTAACAAGGCGGCTATGTTGGGGGTCAATACAATTGAATTTTTTCTCGAAGAATTTACAGTACATGAAAATAGAGTTTAGTTCCCAGAGGAGAGAAATGTTTTTGTTCTTGACCATTGACATGGCCGCCGTGGTCTCACGTGTAAACCAGCAATAGATGAACCTTGTATTGTAAAGATGTCCTTCCTCCCCCGCCGCAATTAGTTTATAAGCTATTCGTCGGTGGGAAAATAATGTTATTAGTTATATGTTGAACCTCAATAAAATTTGTTGTTGTTGTTTGTTGTTGTGGTGGTGCAACTGTCAAAACAATCTGTATTCGTGGCCGATTTCCCGAAATCATTGTGCTAAAGAAACCGTGCTGCACCTGTCAGGAGCCCATAACTGATCTATTACTAAATACTCCTACACTTAGGCTCAATCGCGGTACCGTTTTTTTTTTCAGCCAGGAGTAAAGTTTGTTATTCATTGTTATGACAGTTGTACCATAACCGGCACAAGTAGCCTGTTCCAAGCTTTCAGATCGTGGGAACGGGGCAGACGGCGCAAAGAGATGTGTTGGCAGAAAAAAAAACTGCGAGGTGGTGTAGACGCAGCCTTCTCTCCTCGTTCCTCCCCGCTAAGGACTTTTCGCCAGGACTGAGACAGCTGTTTTATGTGGCTAGATATCATTTAGGTAAAGTTAAACTCGAGCGAGTTGGCCAGCGGTCTTCTCTCACTTCAGTATGTGACCTACGGGGCGGCCCGCAGGGAATTGCAGGGCTCCTTGTGTGCCCTTTTGCTAGTGTTGCTTTGCATTGTAGCTTGCTGATCGTAGCGGATGAATTTTTGCCTTCTTGCGAATCATTGCGGATTCTTGCTCCCTCTCCTCCCTCTCTGCCTGGTGGTTTGGTAAATCATCAGTTTTCTCAGGTAAGTATTCTCTTAGGTAAGTATCTCCACTGAATTTATTCAGTGTGACGGTGCCGGTTAGTGGCCGCTCTTGGGGTGGTTCCCGCTTCCAGGGTTTCCATGGATACCTCCTCTCTGCCTATTTCATTTGGCCCCCCACTAACCTTCAAGGCACCTGCTCCCAAGCTCATTATTAGCGGTGAGTTTAACGCAGGCTTGAGTTGCACCACTGCTCGCGCGCGTAAAGAGTTCTTTCTCAGTTTGTTTAATTGATATTTCATCTTCGAATTTTGTTTAAGAGCAGCATGCAAAGCATTCCATTTTGTGGTGAACCTTCAAAAATTTAGATTGTTATCTTGAAGTTAGAATATCCCTATCTTCCGGGAGGGATACTCCTGGAAATTCTTGGGTTGGGTGTGCCGCCCGGTTCTTCAAATCCTGACCCTATTTCAGACCAAAAAATGTCATTTTCAGTCCTGGCGTCTAAAATCCATACCCGTTTTCAGACCTGGAGGTGGTCACAAAACGCAACATAACATTTTTAGATAAAACAGAAATTATGTCGTCATTGCTGAGATTAAAACAGCAACAAAAAGATTTCTTAAAATCCATTTCGAATTCGTGTATTACACTTTCTTTCTCATTCATGTGGAATTGAAACGACGAACACATTGATACACAACCGTAGTTCCTTCGTAAAGTTATTTGAGTTAGTTCATTGAAATATTTTTGTTTTCTAACTTGCATGCTAGAGAGAGATCTTTACGTTTCAACTGAAACTGCATGCGTTTTGCCTTTCTGCCGGACAAAATCGAACTAAGCACGTCGATTGAGTTAGATTGGTTCGATGCAGTTCGGTAATCCGGAGAACTCACCGAAAAGTTTCAGTTCGATTTTGTTCGATCACCGACTTAATCGAACAAAGATCCGACTGATAGTGCCCAAAAGAGAACCAAAACAACCATTTTTGAATAAACTTAACATTCCTTATCACTCATTCAAAATATTTTCCCGATTCTGATTGGCTAAAAGCACACGCATAATTCACCATAACCAGCTACTGATGACCAAATTTGGAAGAATTTTGCGATTAATCAACCGATGACGTCAAAAGTGCAGCTTCCTTGCGGGTTAATGCACCGTTAACCGAGAAGACCTGGGGACGAGGTTGAGTTGTTTTGGTTATGAAAACAAAAATGGCGGACATTTCATTCGTTTCAAGAGTAAGAACTAGGCTAAAAAATAGCCAAAAACATGGCAAGAGCAAGAAGACAACTCGAACGGCGACATCTGCTATTTGGAGAATATTTGCGGAGCTGTACAACCCTAAACGTGCACTATGAGTCTGTCGAAGATGAACTTAACATCGATGGTGGTGCGCATGTTTTAGCTATGTTTTTAAACAAGGAATTGTTTTGAATGAATAATAAAACAATTATTCAATTGGGCGTTTGTATCATGTGAAGAATTATGGAGATCTCGAAAGGGTGTTATCCGCCTCGGCCTACGGCCTCGATGGATACACCCACCTCGATCTCCATAATTCTTCATAAGATACTCAGCCTCATTCATTAATTGTTAATTAATCATTTCTGTTTTTTTCCCCAAGTTTACTGAAATTATCTTTATTGATCACCAAACTGGGAATAAGTCCTACTTCACAAAAGCAGGCGTTGGAAAGATAAAGGCCGATGGTAACTATGGCAACAAAGCTGATACCTATGGATTATGGCACGGCTTCGGATCAATGAATGATGATTACGAGTATCAACTGTTGATTTGTGATGATGAATTTTACTCTGGTTTCCTCGTGTCTGGTCACCGCAAAATAATAGTATCTGAACCAGGTTGTTACAAGGAATGCAGTGATTGGTGTGGTGATTTCAATTCGCCGTACTTTCGCACAGCCGCTAATGGTTCAGTTGGTAATGGCGTCGCGTTCAACACCAACGGACACCAGTCATTAGCCAATCGACTGATCAGTGTTGGGCTGCGATAAGACGTCTCTGAGGAAAATAATGATACCACACACCCCAAGAACAGCCTTTTGATGAAAAAAACCCCCAAGGGGTGAGGGGGCGGGGAATGGACGCGCTTGAAATTGGTGAGCCAAAAGACAGCATCTTTATGATACAGCATTTCTGCATCCATATGAACCGTTTTGCATCGTTTTAGTTCACAATGTCTGATTAGGTAGTAGCTTGTAAATAATTTATGCTTCGCTTTGATATATAATCAGGGACATTCTCGTGATTTAAGAATATTTGCGACTGATTTATTCACTTTTTTAGCTTAAGTAGACTGAGAAAGTGTAGCTTAGTCTGATATTTGAGAGAAATCTTCAAAGAAAGCAACTTTATTTAATTACTTTTGCACAAATACAGAATCATATAATTATATATCGTAGAAGCAGTTCAAGGTCAAAATTCGTAATCTATATATCTGTTAAGAGCAAGATTTCCTGACCAAATGAATGTAAAATGACATTATATGTTGGACGCCTTCTGTCTCCTAATTAGCATTCTTTCTACCCATTTATCTATAACAAAGTTCAATAATATCGGAACAAAAGAATTTTTTCGACATAACATTGACTTATCTGTCTGAAGTCCATGTTTCTATACTATCTTCAAAATAATTTCTTACTCAGAAAGAATTCTTTATATTTTTCTGAGTATTTTTGGACATGAAGCAGACATGTCGGATAAAAGTTTTTGTTAAAAATGTTCCATATAGGAGATTAAAACGTGGCTAAACTAAACCACATTTAAACATGCTAGGCCTCGGTGGAGTCCACAGAGACTTGTATATGGTCACTTTGATCATGTCATGTAGTATTCACACGGCCGAAGACTGAGCCCACTGTTGTGATTGGTTGCTTTTAACGGACATTGAATCTGGTGTGGTGGGCACTTCCACTGATGAACGAGCCAGGATCTCTCGTTCCAGTTCTTCGCACTTTTGACGCAGCTGAAAAGTAACCAATTTGTGAAGAAGAGTTAAGCTTGAAACAAAGACAATATGGACGGGGATGGAAATGGTTTTCACGGCTACAGAAAATCCATATGAACTGAATGGTAACCACCCCCCAACCCCCAACCCCCACCCCCTTCTGTCTCACTGTAAAAAGGTGATCTTCAGCTGTGAAAGGACTCATTTGTAAAAACAACGATTAGCAAGAAATGAAAGTAAGTTTTCTCAGAGACTGCGCTCTATTTATATTTATTACAAAAAAAGAAAAAATGTCTAAACTGTTCACGAAAAGAGCCGGCGAAATATACATTTGCAGAAAAAGGTATGAAATTTCTTCCAATACTGGGGCATTCTTTGGGTACCTGTTCGCAAAGAAAGTGCAATTCTCGACTTCTCTGTTCCTCTGATTCCTGCAAAACCAAACAAAAACCAACAACTACTTTCAAGATCGAACTTTTCAACAGATTCACATGCATGCACTACAGGCAGAGGTATCACATACCTGAGGTTGCATTGTAGGATTCCAGCGAATATAGTAACGAGTCCACAGATCAAGTCTTCTCATACTTGCTACTGGAAATAACACCTGGTGACAACAAAAACGGATGAAAGTTTACAACGTCGATAAAGCATTCTTTCTCTCTTTAAAACTATTAATCATAATTTTCTCAGCCCAAACAAGTGCCTTACCGTTCAGACCTTTTTCATCTTATTTCGTACTTTCTTAGCTCCCGTATTGAAAATATCTCCTTGTCGCGTTCAGCCAAAACGAACGTCTATCGGGCTTTGACGTTCCAAATAGTTTTGAAGGAACTATTTTCATGCCTTACAAAAGATTGTGAACACATTCTGTCAAGGTAAATTAGCTTCTCGGGCAAACTGAAGGTTCTTTTGGGATCTTGGTATGAGGCCATTGTAAACAATGGACCTAACGTTTGGCGAACGTATTGTGTATTACAGCTGAAAACAACAGTCACGGATCCATCCACGATGAAATTGACCTTAAGCAACAACGACAGTGACGGTTACGAAAACGTCATTCAAAAAGTGAATTCGGGCTACTTCAAACTTTATCGCGCTTATTCCAACTCGTTCAATTCGTCAAATGTTGGCAAATTTTCTGGAGTTGAATTCTAAAAGACTGTATCGATTGTGTTCACGTCCTCGACAAAACGTGAAATTAGGCACTTTCACGTTGTAGTCGTGCAGCGACGGCAAAGGAATGTACAAAAAAGAGTGATGAACGTGCAAAGTTGTTGTTTTGGTAATCTTAACCTATTGTTTTTTTGCCGTTCTCCCTGCCGTTGCCGTCGTCGTTGCTTACGCTCCCTATCGTTAGATGACTGGATGCGAGAATAGACTGGGTGGGGAGAGGTGTATTATAGGATGGGGTAAGGGGAAAACATATCCGCCCCTGCAAAAAGTTTCGTTCGACAGACTGAACATCAGTGCTTGGCACTGAGATTTCTGAAATCTTTTGGATACACATTTTAAATTCCTGACGCTGGTTTTATATACAAAGGAATCAAGACATTCTGAACCGGAAAATGGCGTTTTTGTTTACTTCGCCCACGTGTCACATAGCGCACTCAATATTCTTGTCTCCAATTTTCTCGCGATTTAAAAACAAATAAACAGCAAAGGGCTACGAGTCTATAGAGAATATTACTGATGACCAAGACTTCTTGGTACAAGATTTCAGGGTCCTAAACTTTTTCAATTCACTAAATAACAATATACAAAATGCTTCTACCATCCCTTTGAAAACATTTCTCCTTAGCTGATTCACTAACCTCCCACGCAGGCAGTTTTAGGGGAGCTCGACCTCCCCTAAAAACGCCTGCGTCTGAGGTTACAAGTGATTCACCAGTCACAAATAACATTTGTTTCTAGCTGTTTTTTTTTTTCTGTCCCTTTTGTATGTTTTGTTTTGCTTGCATTTTATCCTAATTATATTTCAGTATTATTTCGCCGCCTATTTATTTGTTATATTTATACTCTTAGGTTGGGGGGGGGGAGCTCATCTAATATGTCCCAAGGTTTCAATTTGAGTTTCCTCGCCAGAAAAACACTTCTAAATCTCTTTAATCTTTAACTATCATTTTTGTGGTATATTGAATGTCTATATATATTTTTTTCTGGCAAATAAATAAACTGAAACTGAAAGACAAAAAACGGGCCCTCAAAAAAAAAAAACGGTCATCGGCAAATGACTTCTGGTTCACGCAGGAAAGCCATAATCTTTCCGGTTTTGACAGAAAACCTTTGCAGGTTGAAAAAGTAAACCTCAGCCAACTCAGGATACGTACATGTTGGTGAAGGTGTGGAGCGTACAGAGGGTTACTGAACTCCATCGTCTGCAAAAATTAAATGAAAAATTATACACCGGTGAAAAAGATAATTCAATTATTCAATGAAAATAACAAAAACAAATCATAGAACACGACAAAACAAATCCATTGTTGCGTTGATTGGGAAGCCTGAACTGGAAGCCTGGGACTTATGCAAGGTCCAGGCTGCCCCTAGATCAGTTTAAGTAGACATAACATTACAATACAATACAATACAATACAATACAATATTCTTTATTTAACGAAGGTGACGTAATAACCCAATGAGTTATCTAACTTACGGCCTTCACAACAATACAAAATACACATATAAAAACAATGCCTAATCAGTAATATACGACTACAACAAGCGAAAAAAAAGAACTACACAAATGTATGGTTTAACAAGATGATATAAACTAATTACCTTCTAATACAGTTACAATAAAGGGAAAAACGACAATCATAACACATCAATTCTTCAAGATGAGAAACGTTACTAGCAAACTTAAGGAAAAGATGACGCGATTTTACAAAATAAACTACTGTATAAACTAGGATACAGAAAAAAGAAGAATAATACAACTTAATTACATACTACTTACGAAAATAGGATGACATATTTACGGCGGCTAGTTACGGCGACTTAAGGCCCTAGAGTAGGCCTAAGAATGGTGGCAATGAGATTTACCTTGGGACAGTCGGAAGCAGGGAGAGCGTTTTCTTTTTGTAATCGTTGTGTAGGAACTAGGTAAGCACCTGATTTGGCTATGCACTGAATCCGCTTGTAACTGGATTTTTGTTTTTATAAAAAACCGCGCCATTTCCTCAACCAATGGAGAGGGGAAGTCGTTACGTCACGTTGCCATGGTAGCAAAATTATTGGATGACAGCAAACCGATAAAGCCTCTTAAAAGTCCATTCGCACTATTTCAAACTTCACCGATCTTGTTCAATTTCATTTAGTTTGGCAAATCATGGCGAAATTTTCTTTGGGACCGTATCTGTCGTTATCTAAGTTTAGAAAAAGAAAGCGACAATTTTTGTGTTGTGTTCATCTACTCCATAAAGCGGGCTCGTGAAATTAGGAAGTTTCATGTCGTAGTGTTGCAACGACAACAAAAGAAAATGTACAAAATGGCGTGATGCACGTGCGAAGTTGTTGTTTGTTAATATAGACATATTATTTTTTGCCGTTCTTCTTGCCGTCGCAGTCGTCGTTGGGTTTGTTGTCATCCAGAAATAGTGCCACCATGGTAACGTGACGTCACACTTCTCCCCTCTATTAGAATTGTATTTGAAACCAACAGTGACTTCCCTGCTTGCTTTCCCGCGCTTAGGCGGCGCCGGCTCCATGAAATTGGCGTCGAGTTTTGATTGGTTGCCTGGAATATTTGCTCTGCTGTGATTGGCCAGAGTAAGTGAAGTTTGTTTCAATTTTACGGCACCTGATTGAGAAGTGCTCCTATTATGAAAGCCTTATAGATTGGTCTTACTGCAAACATGGTAATTAAAAGGGAAAACCAAAACAAACATCAAGAAGGGAACATACTCGAGTGTTGATGTAGGACCATAGAGAAACAGTCTTCACTCTTACATCCTGAAAATTTACAAGGAAGAGGAAAGAAAAAAAATGTCAGTAAAAAAGTTACATGATATCACCTAGTTAACCACAACAAGCAATTACCGTAATTAA